TTTTGTGTTGGTTTGTTTTTTTTTCCCGGCCGCCGTGTTTCCGCAGGTCTGCGTGAAATCCCAGAAAGCGGCGTCCTCGCCTCGGTCTAGCCCTGTGGAGGCGGTTTAAAAACATCCCACGGCCGCCTTGCCACCTGCAGATTCCCCAAGATCAACGTCAGATTTATCTGGGTGTGTAGGGCAAACGTTTTTAGAATTAGAAAAGCCATAGGTAAGTTAGGAATAGAGGAGCACTGAGGGTGACATTAATTTGGAAATTATTTGTTAGGTGGTTTTATGCTTATGAATTGAATAGGGGAAGGGTTAAAGCAGAATGAAGACTTGGTTGAATACATACGTATCAGCTGATGCTATTTTAATAATTTCAACTCCTAGGTTTTGATCTGAGGCAGTTGTTGAACAAAGGAGGAAAGAGGTTTAGACTTTGTGTTAGGTTGCTACACCAAACCATTGCATGGGAGCAGAGAAACATCGTTTTCCCTCCCGCCCTTTTTGAGAAGGACAGGAGATGTCTGGAGAGTGTACAAACACATACATTGACAGAAAGTGGGTTGTGCTGAGGAGTGTTACGTTACATACAGTAATGTGTTTGATAAGGCAACAAATATTTTTCAGGTAAATGAGCAATGAACTATAATTAATAAGTAAAAAGTGGTTTGCCGCTTCTTTGTCTTCTGGGGAAAAAGGGTATAAGCAGACCAGTTGTGACCTGTTGCTGTAGTTACAGAAATCAGGGATTGGTATATTTCCAGCTGGTTTTTATGCCCCTGTACGCACTGCAGTGGAATAGAAGCCACTACGATGAATTTATACTACCAGAAGTTACAGTAGGGTTCATGCTTCATAACCACTTTTCTTAAATTTATGGCAGTTTCGAAATGATAAAGCATTATAAAGCTGTCCTAAACCAGGAGAAAATCTACATAACTAAAAAGACCCATGACATATACCCCATATGCCCTGTATTAGCGTTAACGGCTCTTCAGTTCGGCTGAAAGGTTATTGCTGAAGTTCCTGAAGGGCTCCTGCCTGCCTGCCTGATTGTGTCTGCCTTTTTTGGACACTGACTGAGATGGGAGATGCCCAGAATAAATAAAGATTCTTAGTTTTCAAGATGGATAGGAATAAGGGTTGCTGGGTCTGCTTTTAAATCTTGAGTTGGACTGCTATTTTAAGACATTAAAACGCACAGCCGATGCTCCTTTGGTTTTCCACACCTGTAAGTGCTAAGGACATTTAGTGGCCATCTAGAGAAAATGTCTTTTATCACATGGAAATAGTTGCTGCAGCTGTCCAAATAAGTGCTGATTGCCTTAGTTTTTAATAACATTTGTGATTATTGAATCTGAGGTAAGTTTAGAGGCTGTCTTTCACAATGTAAAGTTTTTCTGTATTTTCCTCATCTTGAACAACGTTACTTGCTTTTGGGGCTGTTTTTGATTATATTAGAGCAGCGCTATGGACCTTGCTCTAAGGAATATTATTTTGTCTATTCATTTTATTTTAAACCTATCATGCTTATTAGAAAGTTCCAGAAAGTTGTTTTTCTGTTCATTATCTCCATATAAATATCGTGTCCAAAAATACATTCACAGATAATAGAGGACGTTACTGCATACAAGAATATCCTGACTTCGATCAAACAGGAATATGAGGCGTTTATTGCCAGAATCAGGAATGGCCAAAGGAATGCATTTTTTCTTCACGGGAGATTAAAAGCCTTGGAATCTGAGTCCACAGCTCTATTATACTATAGGAAAAGAGCAATGGAGCTTGAAGACAAGTAAGTTCTCTCTAATAACGTTTAGAGCAAAATATGTTGTTTTAATTAGGACATGAATAGTTTAGTTGTAGCTGGCTTCTCTCATCTATATTTTTTAAATGTTTCAATTCTTGTTTTATTTTTATATGGAAGCTGCCAGTGGTTGTGTAAAACCTTGCCAGTGTGGTGGTAGATTTCTGCTCTTCACATCCTGGTGCTGATTCTTGTGCAGTCAAACTTGGGGTGTAATCAGCAAAGGCTTTGCTTGCAGAAAAACTGGAGGATCAGGCTTGGAAGTTAAACACACACAGGTTTTTCTCCACCTGGAAAAATAGGATGGCCTCAAAGTGAGGCTATTGTATTGCTAAAATGCATTGTCTGAGGTTGAGAAATATGGAAAAGTGAGTGAATTGCTCACTTTTTCTCATCTACTGTCTTATATTGAGGAAGGATTGTTATGTAGCTGCATGTACGTAGTAGGAGAGCCAGTTATCTTGCCATATGCAGTCTGAAGTGGAATTATACGGCAAACCGGGGGGGCAGGCTTTACTGACAACTGCAGAACAGTATGACAGCAAGCCTAGGTCAACAAGTTTTGGTACTGATACCCTTGCAACCTGGCACATAAAAAGGACAAGGTAACAGCTCCTGTTTTACTTTTTTGTTTGTTTGTTTGTTTTTCCCTCCAGAATAAAAGCTATTCAGAAGAATTCTGCAAAAATTAAAAACGTAATATTGGAAATGTATAATGTAAGAAAGGTACCCTCAGAAACCTTTGGCACCTCAGGGAAAACAGCACATCCTCTTAAGCCCATCCCAGGTAAATCCAATATTCTGCTTGTTTGACAGTTTCTTCTAGATTAAATATTTTTTAAAAATAATTATATAAAACCCAAACCAAACAAAAAAACCAAAAACTAAGCTACCCAGAATAGTGCAATGTATCAGCAAAATGCAGATCTGTTTGCTGGAATGCAGAACAGTGGTGACCCAGTAGAAATAGGGCGGGTGTAGACTTGAAGAATAATGTATTCAGAAGGTCTTTGCTGTTGTGGGAAGCTGCCCGTGACGGGAGGTGCAGCCTGCATTACTGTTAGCAGCCGGCTTTACTGCCCGCGGCTGGGAGCTCATGAAAGGCATTTTCTTCTCCCACAGGCCTGAGTGTAGAAGAATCACTCAGCTTGGATTCTCTTTCTAAACATCTTGCTCAGTTAGACGGGTGCTGGAATTGAAAAAAGAAAGGGGGGGGGAAAGTATGTCCTTCGGCAGAAAAAGACTATGTTAGAATAAGAACTCCTGCACTTACTGGCCTTACAAGATACTGCTGAAGCAAAGAGAGAAAAGCTGAAGCTCAGGCTCGAGTCTGTATCTGTAAATATTTTTAATTTAGATGTGTTCCTTATGTCACAAAGACTTTCTTTTTTGTCTTATGGATTGAGGTTCCGTATTAACATACATAGTGTTGATACTATGATGAAGATTTCTTGATTTGGGTAACTGTGTCGATCACATACATCTTTCCCTCTGACTATTCACAGATATGCTAGAATTTTGTTAGTTGCAAATACTATTTCTGCCTGGGCAAAATCAGACAAGATTGTCACCCTGCAAGATTCTCCTCTGTCAGATCATGAAAAATAAAAAAGGTGAAAGAGGTGAAGTCATTAAAAGTGAAATGTCAGAACAATCGATAGTGAGAGTATGAGACTGGACAATCAGCAATAGCAGACTAAGAGTTTGGTCTTTAAGATGGTATGTTTTATTCCTGTCTGGTAACTTTTGAGGGCGCTGCTGGGAAAACTGTCTTTAACTGATGCTGTAAAAGGTGTTTCCTAAACAATCATCTGCTTAAGGAGATTGTTTCAGTTCTATTAAAAAAAAAAAAAGAAAAAAGAAAATATTCTACCTTTAAAAAAATGTTTTCATATAAATGTATCAGTTGATAAAGTTCGTGTTGTTTGTTTTGTTGTTTGTTGTTTTTTATTTTTTAAATGCTTTAACACTTTTAACTCTGATTTGCTTGTTGAGATAGTAATGTACCTAGTAAAATGGCTGAAGATTCACTGGAATATTTTGAAAGGTAAAAAGAGTATGGTTATTGTGCTCTGCATTAGCACTTTGCAATATCATAGTTAATACAGCATACCGAATGCAGTCCTTCCAGGACACGTTCTTTTTGTGACCCTTTTGGTGTTTGTAAAAAGTGCTGACGTGGCAGCCGTGCACATTAAGGCAATTGTTTATCCGTTTTCAGAGATTCTTCTCTGGCCGTTTTTCTAAAGGGACTGAAATTGAAAAGACCAGCTCTTCCGTGTGTTGTGAAAACTGACAAGCTTGTCTTAAATATAACTTCGTGCCTACAGATGAAAATGTACAACTTGAGTTTTTTTCACAAGTGTCCAGATGCCTGGAGGAAATTGGACATTAGATGCTTTTGAAAATCCCAGTAATGCAGCTGTCTGCTTCTAGGTGCCTGGATCTCATTGCTAATATAATCCCTTAGTATTAAAAATAGGAATTAGTTCATCAACTGACCTCATATAGCCTGCTGTGTAACTGTTACACAGAAATAACTCTCCTGTTTCTGGCCATTGACTAAGTAGATTAGTCCTTCCCAAATCACAGCCTTTTACAAGCCATATATTAAAGTAGACTTCATTTCTCTTTCTAGTTGCCCACAGATAACTCCCTCCTAGGTTTCTCAAAGTTTTCATTATGGACGCTGTCAGAAGCACTAGGTAGTGAGGCAGAAGAGATGTAACTGGCTGTGTGGAAACAAAATTGCTGCTTCATACTGGAAAATGGTGTGATGAAGATACACTAGGTTTAAATATGTATATTTTAAAGCCGTGTTTTCTCTGTGTTTGGGCTTCTTGACTAGACTGCTATACCATCAGCCAACCATTTTATGTATGTATATGTGTATTTATCTAGTGTTTGCATAACATATGTTCTGTATTTTTTTTCTTGCTCTTTCCTAGTTTCAGTGAATTACTTTCAAGAGGTCAGTATGATGCCGCAGCAACCTATGCAGTACTCTCCTAGGGGAATTCTCTAATGAAAAAGCTCTGAAGTATCTTAAATGTAAGAACTTGATAATTGGGTCCATTCTTACAGGATTTTAGTTGATGTCAGGCTAGTCATTTCGGTGCTTAGGAATTTGGGATTTATCAAACGAGAATTGTTTGTGCGGGTTTGAAGCTTATGTTTAATATTCCAAATTGAAGATAAGAAAAGCTGTCAGGCTTTTCTTTTTCTCCTTTGTTGTATGTTAAGGACGTGCCCTAAGAGGCAGAAAGGGAGATAGCTAACTCGCAACCACTGCTTTTCTTACTGTTGGTGAGGTGCTGGGTTAAGCAGTGATCTTAAGGTCTAGTATAAAGGTGTTCCTAACGCAGTGCTGAAACTGTTTTATTTCTACTGATAAATTATGTGCGATAGACAAGAGCAAAGGGCTACCCGCTAGTTTGAAAGTCCAGTCCTTACTGTTACGTCTTAATTACTCAAGCTTAGTCTTTTGAGTCATAAAGCAATAGTCTAGTTAGTCATTAAAATTAGTTTCTGAAATCTAAGGTATATAAAAGCTATTAATGATTTCAAATATCCCAGATAAATGCAAAATAATCTTTATAATTTCATCTTCCTCTCAATGTTTTTGTTTGCATTTGGAAACACATAATTCAGTGATATTGATGATGTCAGAGACTGAAGCAGTGGAGTATTTTGTCTTTCCTTTGGAAGGGGCATTGCTGAATTTACAAGATCAGCGTTTGTTGGTTTTTTTTTTCCCTCTGCATGTTTTATTGGCTTTTGTTCAAGTTTTAAAGGCAAAAACTGAGAGAAAAACTGTGATAAGCTAGTATTCAGGATCTCAATTGCAAAATTACAAAATTTGTAGTCTCAGCAGCAGATGTTATATTTTTTGTATTCTCACTTGAAAAACTGTATGTTTTAAAGACCCCCACAACTCCCCCTGAGATTTACTCATTACCTGTCAATGGTAGAATACTGTCATGAACCCCCTGCCTTCAGTTTTGAGCAGCCTGCATTTGGAATAATTAACAAGGCATCTGATACAGCTCAACCTCACAAAAGATTTAGTAAGAATTTTGTCAGAGGCATTTGGTGGGTATCAGCAAACAAAGTCTAAAACTTAAGAAGTCTTAAATAGTGAAAGGTACTTTTCGGGGTGCTCAGCCAGTGACTTCTGTTTTCATCCCTTCAGCTGTTAGCTGCCTTAAAGGAAGAAATCTCTCTTTGCTGAAGTATTTTGACACTCTGCTACACTCAAGTACTGCAGCTGGACACCTTCCAAATTCAGCCATAACTCTGGAAGCAATCATCAAATGTGCATTGGCTGAAAAGCAATTAGATCTAGTAACACGTTGGGTTAAACAGCAAAGGTATGTGGTTCTGCCGCACTGAGATTCACAGAGGGGTATGCCATCCTCCGTTACTTCCCAAGTCATGATGCTTTGCCTTTTCTTCAGAGTAAATCCTTTCAAACAAAATGCAACCAAAAATACTTAATGGATGTCTTTTTTTATTCTTTCGTTAAACCCTAAATTCAATACGAGTGTAGACCAAACAAGCAATATCAACAGCTCCTTCTGAAGGATGCATTTCAGTTTGGTTGCTGTCAGCCTTTCTTACAACATTGCAGGCTCCAGTTTTATTTGTGACTCTTTTCTCTTACACTGTACTTAAAAATTATACAGATATAATATTTTCACAGCCTCCTGTGGATTAAAAAAACGTAATTACTAGGATATTAATTTCTTTCATTTTATTCTTGTTGTCAATACCAGATCCACAGTTTCAAACACAATTATGCAAAAAACGTGCGTAAACTGTAAACCCTATACCTGCACTTGACCTCTGTTTTTCCATGTTTGGGGATAGGATACAATCATATTTAAATTTCTAGAAATGCGTCTGTTGCTGCATTTTTGATTTGGAGAAGACATTAAGCTGTCAGAAATGTTTTCCTAATCCAGTGTAGATTTGTTTGAAATGGTGAAAATCCTACTGGAACAGTTGGTATTAAATTAATTATAACGGGTACCTCTCTGCTGAAAGACTCCTGTGAAGAGCAACAGCATTCTTTAACGCTAGCCCATATTTTAGTTTTAAATTGAGATTCTAAACCACCTTGTGTCAGGATCAAAATACCACTTCTTTGTTTCAGTCCTAACCCATAACATATCCTACTATTGCAAAAAACCTGTTACAGCCTGCTCTTTTGACATGCTGAAATCATCATTGTTCTCACAGTAATAAGACCTAGCTAGTTATGTCATCACACTGAAACAGTGTTTCTTAAGCCGTGCTTTATGACCACTTTGGGAATCATAAAACATTAGTAAATGCAATGTTAGTAGACAACAGCTTAGTTCCTCTAGAGTGGAAGAGGGAAAAGCAGCTGTAATTTCTAGTGTCAAGCATTACAGATGTTTACAGTAGTCAGGGATCTGCAAATTGCTTTTAAGCGTTTGCTGGAGAAGCCTGTTGAGAAACACTCTGTTACTGGAACAAAATGATGCCTTGTTTGTTTAGGTACATAGGAGCTTTACCTCCTATTCTGAAACTATGAAGTTCTGCACTGATTTTAAAACAGTGTTTTTGCAAATACTATAAATAAAGAAATCCTAAACCACTTAGGTTGTAGGCAAAGCCGGTAGCAACACCTGTAGCAGACAGGTCACGTAACACTTGGCAGTATAAATCCCTGTAATTGCCACGCTGTTTTGCTGCACTGTGTTACATAATAATTGCCACACTATTGTGCCACTGTAAGGGTGGCAAAACTTCATCCATTCCCCACTCCTGTGTCCTTAGGTAGAATTTCTTAGGAAAGCATTAAAGCCAGCTGAGCTACTTCTGAGAGCCATACTACAAAATAGCTTGTTTTTGTTAATGACATAAT